TGAGACACAATCGGACGCCACATTTGAAGCGCCCGTTTGGGGTCAACATATAAATGGCCGGCGGCTTGAATGGGAACTCCGACGGGAACTGTAGCTTTCCGTGATATACGCCACCGGAATAGGGGGTTCCTTCGGGGCCGTGAACCACGTAATGCCTGTCCATATAAACGGCAATATTGTTAACCTAATTATCACATCATATGTCATGACTACAGACCACTCGAGGATGTTGTTGTGGAGGGGGTGGGCGGACACGTAGGGCACGGGATCCTTAATGATGCGCATGTAGTCCTGTTTGAGGCGTTGTGTGGCTGTCGTCCCCTTCATGGCCCGTCTCGGACCCGATTGGCCAGACATTAGGTCCCAGTCTTGTGACCAACACTTGCCGTCAGCCAGCGATCGGTTCCAGCGATGGATATATTGACTGGATTTGAGGGCAAAGACTGTAAGCAATAGTGAGACAAACCGTCACTAATTGTGTGTTAATTATAATAATGTGAATAAAACTCATAAACCATTCACTGGACAGACATTTGTCTCACGACTAGTGTTGACTGAATTGCAGCACATTTTGTGCGTTAGAGAGCGCTATGAATGCCATTCATTGCACTCGCAGTGAATTCACACAAATTCACTGCACTTTGCAGTCAACTCCAGAATATTCATGAAGTAGACTTTGTTTCCATATGATTGACCAGGGTACATGCCATATCTAATTTTCAAAATATTCCATGCTTCACTAAAAATTTGTATTAAAAATTTTTTTAGTCAAGAACATAAAATGCTTTTGGTAAAATTGTAAGCATGGTTATTTATTTCGAAAAAAGAACATATAATTTATAAAATTGTAGTTATAAATGAGTTTTAGAAAAATAAAATCAAATCGTGTAAAACTAATTAACCGGTTATTTATATAATATGAGAGTAACGGGTCTTAAGCACTGGACTCGAAAGTATATATATTTTACAATTAATTGCTAACTTATAAGACATTAGAAGTGTGGAAATGAAGTCATTTTTTGCAATTCAGGGCCTCTTTTGATTCACGTGTTATCCTTTTATTCATCCTCTTATAGGCCTTTTTAATGAATTTGATTTCCTTATCACTTCTCAAATAGCGGTCGATCTCATCGTCAGAGATATGGGGCTCAGACTCTTCGGGCTCTTCATTCTCTAGCCCTTCCTTTCTGACCTCCGATTCGTAAGACCTATTCTGTCCTTTTGTCTCGTAATAGGCTTTCCTCTTAAAACTATTCATCCATGTCTTGTCGTTGTCTTCGCTATAATCGTCCTCTTTTGTCATTCTTTGCGACGATTTTTGCTCTTCACATAACTTTGTGTAGACATCGCGTCTTAAGTCAAAGATCAATGAATTGGAGTATTGGATGATATCATTGACATAAAGGGCGACATTGTTTCGATGGACTCGAATGGACCGGAACTTCACAATCGGGATGTGTTTCGCGAGTTTAATAAATATGTCGTTTTGCTCCTTCACTCTCTCGACAGTTGTAAGCGTGGATCGGATGCCAAAGTCTTTGCAGAATTGAGTGAACTTGTAGTGCGCTCTTTGGGTCGGTCGGAGTGACTTCCAGCCCAGATATGTGGCCGCCGTTATCACATGCAGTGGTGACCGGCCCTCCACCAGCCAACACGCCTTCTCTATACTTATTATATCAATCACTCTGTGCTCCAAATCTTTCATTTCC